CTTGGCTCTTTAATACACAAGGACATACTCAAACCTGATAATGGTTTTCTGACAAAGGGTTTGGAAGGCTCAGTATCGCTCGTACATATCAGAGCTAGTTACATATGTAACTGTGGAAGGAGTGATGAGAATCACCTGGATACCTTCTTGTGTACATGCATGGTGAAACCTTTTACACAGTAACACATGATGCAGCAGATAAATGGCTCGTAGGCTGGCACTTTCTCTCCAAACTCTTCCAGGGGTAGCAGTTCTGAAAGACAAGGAGGCCTGGCAATAATCCAGTGTTCACAGAACTACTGTTACATATGTAACTAACTCAGAATGCCCATATTGCAATGCTAACAGTAGACCGTCTAACCTATTGCTGATGCATTCCTGCCACATTGCAATAACTATCACTAGCACGTCATCCAAGCTTATGCATTCAGCACACATGCTTAGAGCGTCGTTTGGTAACCATCTTTAGGAGGCTCAGTGCTGAAGCATTGAGCACATAGTTGGTGCTTGTTGTGAGTTTTTATTGTTTGGTCATTGCTGCATAGCTCATTTAACCACACAGCTCACCAAAAATAGTATGTAGTTTGTTGGGCATTGAAGCCACTCGAACATGTTGGCAGAAGGTACTGACATGCCTGCTAGTCATGAGATGGCAGTGAATGTAGAAAATATGCACATGGAGGACACTGTGGGAAGAATGAGGGGAGAATGGAAGGAAACTCAAATCCAGCCTCCGTGCTATATGTTAGCAAATCTGGGTAACATGGCAGTCAGAGCAGCAAACAGTGCACACTACAGTGAGAGAAACCCACTCCATCACATTAACAAAACCTAGCCATATATATATATATATATATATATATATATATATATATATATATATATAAATCTCTGCAGAAACCTGTCAACTAATGTTTTGGAATGTTGGTATTAAAGCAGAAACCAAGATTTTGATCAGGTGTTTGGTTCTCTTTATATTTTCTTCTGTACTTCGTAATGTGTTAGACCTTATGTCTATGCCGTTGCTGAGACATTGCCTCACTTCCTGTTTTCAGTAGCCCTCTCAAGTTGCAAATGACTGATGTGCCAACTTTTCTGTTAGTACATAAAAGCATTCCTGAGAAATGGCCTCACTTCTTGTTTAGCAACTTTACCATCAAATTTGTTTTCGTGTTATGGATGAATCATTCTGCGTATCAAAGATCTGAGGAACAAGTTTTGTTCAGGTTGGTCTCACGATGCTAGGATCCAAATTTCATGATGATTGGACAAAATTTGTAGGAGAAGAAGTGAAAAAATGTTTTTGTTAAAACTCAAAATGGCTGGCTGACTTCCTGTTTGGTAAAACACAATTTTTTACATCAAGAACACTTGGCACCTTTCAGGGAATCAACAGGAAGAAAATTCATGATTTGATGTTTAGCAGTTCAACGGTTATGAGCAGTTTTACTAATTAATGAATTAGAGCACCCCCTAAAGGTGAGTTTAGACGAACCTCTTGCAGTCCTTCAGATCCTGGTCCTTCACTCACGTACGGAATTTGGATTGAATGTATCACAGTAACTGAGATATGCCCTCATTTTCTGTTTGGCAACTTTACCCTCAAAGGTTGGCCTCACGAGGCTGTAATCCAACTTTCATGATGAATGAAATTGTAGGAAAAGAAGCAAAAAAAAAAAAAAAAATCTATTGGTGGAAATTAAAAACATGGTACACATGCTGAACTTAGCATAAGCCAAAGAATCAAAGGAACATTTAATCACCTTTCTACAACGTTGTGTTGTAGAGCTATTATTGTAAATGTATATCCAACTTTGCCCTCTTGGTTGGGCTTGAGTGCCCTATACAAATTGCTTTGTACGTAGCTGAGACTATTCTCTATCACTGCGCCAAATTTCGTAAAAAGCATACCAAGCGTTCTATGGGCTGCCAGAGACTTCCATATTAAAGTATAATATTATTAATAATAATAAGTAGAAAACATACTATTCTAATAGGGTACCTATGCACTTTTGGTGCTTGGCCCCTTAAAACATACAATTACAATAGGGTGCCTACACACTTTTGGTGTTTGGCCCATAATAATAATAATAAAACTCTGTAGACACGAAATGATCAAAGGTTTAACCCTCACCTATTTCAGGAAGATGATGAAGTCTGTATGTATGACCATAAAACATTATTACTAAAAAACTAAAAGCATGTCTAATGAGTTATGTCATATATGGTATGCATAAACAAAACTCTATTTCATTTGTTTGAATAACACAGGAAGTGTTGGGGTTTCTGAAAGCCTGAAGAGAACCTATGTGTAATGTTCATTAAACATGCCATCAAGTCAATCTTATCAAACGTTATCAAACGTCATGCCGATAAAGGTAGGAATGTTTTATGAGCTGTTATAGAGGATGTTGACTCTCTAGGATGCCAAACAGAATATGTGGGTTAAATAATATTCATAAGTACTGTGAACTAATACGGTATACTTGATTCTAACTTTTGACCAGGAGGGTAGCAAAAACTGCTTTTGTTTCCAATAAGTGGTTTATCGAACAGAGGGCTATCAAGTACCTGTTTGGACATTACAGTATACTGACTATTTCATTTTAATCAACATTTTAAAATCACTGAGAAAACATTTTTTAATGTATTGCTTTGTTCAGTGTGAAAGTGTGACATGACTATAAGTGTTAAGCTTTAGTGTTGTAGAGAAGGGGACTTCCAAAAAACACTTAATGAATGGAACAAAAATATTTGGTGTTTTCCCCTAAAGCCAAACCAATGGTTAGAAAGTTAAACACTGCAGTATTCACACACACCCCCAAAGGTCAGGGATTTTTCCCTGTATGGAAGTGGAGAGTGTACGTGACTTCCTGTTTCACCAGGTAACATGTTCCTGAATACAACAGCTTCCCTCTAATCTTTAACGCCACGTGTAAATATCCTGTTATATGTACTATTCTGGTTATTTAAGCATTTCATATTTTCTAGATAAGAAGCAATAAATTCAAACAGAAGCAATCAATAAATCAACTGTTAAACAAAAAGTCTTGCTTGATTTTGATATAAGGAACACTCTGGAAAAAAAAGTGTACAACATCCGCAATCATTCATTGCAATATTCTCAGTAAGTGGCTAAGAATGAACACATCAGCTTTCCTTTTATTTTAAGTTTCTTATTCACCTTTGATCTACATGGAAGCAGACAAGCAGAAGCAGCAGCAAGAAGGAAGTTGCACGACTGCAGCTGCCATTTCTTGAAAAACAGCCTTGCTCTCCTACAATCTGGCCCTTTTAAGCCACACTGTAACAAATAACACCAATATTTCAGTGTAATATATACTAACTGAATCTTGTGTGGATTTGGTTATAGGACATGGTTTGTGAGTTTATCAGACCGATTAATAGATGACACAAGTATAGAAAAGTACTGTAAAGTTTATTAGCACTACAGGCGTATGAAAATACACTTCACATTTGTGTTGTGTTTGTATTAAATACAAGCAAGCAAAATATCCCATAGGGAGTATTAAAACAAAAACACACCAGAAGAGAACAAGCCCAGGTGTAGATTTAAGTGCAGAAGTAATGCCAATAAATCAGTTGCCTATCAACACTACACAAACTGCATATAACTGAAAACTTCCAATAGTTTCACTAAATAAAACAGGGTGGTCATCTAATCTTCTGCACATATAGTATCTCATTTATAGTTTACATCAAGATATCAAGCACCAGTGACCTTTGAAACTAAAAGTAGTAAGTACATTATACCACAGCAGCTGGTATAGAGGTCCAGGGTGGAGCCTATCGTTCTCCTGATTAAATCTTCTCTGTTGTTTATATCAATCTATTATTTACCTAGCATCATTTTTGTGAAGGGAGGTTTACTGACATAAAATAAAAAGTATTAGGTATCAAGTTACAAAAAGGTAATAAGAAGTATGCTGAAAAATGTTGTCTTGTTCTCACCTTAAACCTACTCATTTCAGATGTCAACACTGATACTTGTTTTTCCTGTTCTGGGCTTTCTGCCTAGGAAAAACCCAAGCTTATTTTAATTTCAAAGAGATGATTACTAGGAGAAATATGTCTATAATTATAAAATCTGTAAAGATTTTCACATGAAAATCACAAGTGAAAATCATATTATGCATTTATTTAGAGATGCACCAATTCCCACTTTTTCTAATTTACCTGGTACTGTTCTGAATAGCACAACTGCAACCTCATGGCCCTCATCTGCACATGCCTGGAAGGTCCACAAGGTCATAAGGTGTCCTGGTCCTCATTTTATGTTTCAAAAGGATGCTCACAAGTGCCCTGGATGGTTTTGCTGAGCATTAGAATAGCATTAGAATAATATCTTATGTGAAAAAAATCCATAAAGAACTGATTAAACTGAATGTGATCAGTTACCTAATTTACGCTTATAGTCTGTATATCATTTTATAATTATATAATGAGTACAATCAGCTGATTTCACTCTCCAAATTTGTTGTGGTGATATTATGCAATTTGTTTTTAGTAGACTTGACAAAATTATTATAAAAAATTGTCATTCTTTTTTCTCCAAATGGAAAACAAAGATTAAAATTTTATTAGTATTTTATAGTCATTGCATCACAATCATTATATCCTTTTCCTATCGGCAAAACCTTTTGAATAATGACTGTACAGATTCGTGACTTTCTGCCAATATCACTGAATGCCAAGCCACTGTGAAAGCATTGTGCTGAACACAACTGGAACGGAATGAAATTTTGAGGACTGTCTCAATTGCTCACTTTTACACCTTTGCATGCCCAATTATTCATGGACCATAGGTTCACCCCTAGACAGTGTCAGGTACAGAGTTGGAGGAGGACCATAGAGCTTAGGGTGCCATTCACAGCGCCATTCATGGGATACATTTACATTTATGGCATTTGGCAGACGCCCTTATCCAGAGCGACTTACATTTAATCTCATTTTTATACAACTGAGCAGTTGAGGGTTAAGGGCCTTGCTCAAGGGGATTGAACTCATGACCTTCTGATCAGTAGTCCAACGTCTTAACCACTGAGCTACCACTGCCACTCGATATGATACGATATGATACGATATGGCAGTGGACTAGAAAACATGTTACCCAATTTAATACTGATACTGATTATGAAAATACTAAATATAAGATTGGTACATCTCTTTGTTCTTGTTTGATTATAAAACCTAGTCTTGCAGCACTTTCATCTCCACTGACAGCTCAAAGCTTTTTTTTTTTTTTTCTTGGCTAATTACCACCCACTAGTCAGCTTTTCTGTATAGTATGACAGCTGCCAACGAGGGAGGGTGAAAGCTAGCATGTGCTACCTCCAAGTCATGTGAGGATAGAGCTATCCACCCTCTTCCACATACATACATCATTAGGATTTGAACTCACAATCTGTGGACGATAGGGCAAATGCTTTTCTTTTGCACCGCTCAGGAGCCTGCCAGCTCAGTGTTTTAATTTGGATTTGCCTCACGGTTAAGTAACTTTGGATGCAGGTATCTGCCAGTTAAATGCATGTAAATGTAAATGTAAATCTGTTGAAATATATGTACATTTAAACACACAAGGAATATATGACAGTGATCAACAACACTAAAAAAATTATATTGATATGTCTACAGATTTCTAATGCCCTGTGTTGGTGATCAGATCATGTTCCAACTGGTCTTCATAGTGAGGTGATGCCATAATTATTGGCTCACCCAAAATGCGTCATGTTACTATTCACACTGGAGTGTGGATCATTATAGGCAGTTTTGCTTGTGGATCCTGGATCACCACCTGTAACATTAAGGAAACCCTTAATTAACCATTATTATACAAGAAAAAGATTAAGTAACGTCCTTGAGCAGCACATCAATTGAATCCAAGCATTGTTACTTAATGATCATTTAAACTTTAAAACAGTAGTAGGTAACTGTGCAGTTGTAGTTCAAAACTCAGCAGTTTTCCATGACATCTGTTATGATGCGTGTTTTGGTTAAGAAACAAAACAATTTTGTAATAAAATAAACATTTTGTACCATTCTAGGTCGTCTCTGCCAATGCTTTCTGATAATAAGTGCCACAATCAGTCCAGCCAGGATTACCAGTATCAGTGATAAGGGAACTCCAACTGAAAATCCTGTATGAGGTTCACTGTCATTCTCTGATAAAAACAAATCAACAAGCTGGTAAGTGTGACTCTTTTATTGGATCATGCTTGGGGGCATGATGAATATTAATCAGGATTTTGGCTGAATTTCTGTTTCAAATATCAGTTTTGTTTCAGATGTTATTGCATTCAATTACTATGGGGATCATTCTTACACAGACAAAACCTAAGGAAGAAATATGGCCATATTTCGAAATAGATTAAATTAGACACTCATATTGGAAAAAAAATCAAAATCAACAGCACAAAAGACTGTACTGCTGATACTGTACTCACCTGTAGTAGACGGATCATTAATAGACCTTGGTCTTGTCTGACCTTGGTCCACAGCTGTAAAAACGGCATCAGAACAATGACAACAATGTCAGCACATTACCAATCATTTAGCATTTCTACACAATAGCATCCAGTGCTGCTGTAACAATCTGTGCACTAAACTCAAAGAAACCAAAGAAATTCAAAGAACCTCAAAGCTTAATAGCTTACCTTCAACTTTCAGTCCAACTTCATGCATGTGATCCAGGCTTTCTTCCCCATTAAATATATAACATGTAAATGTCCTCTCATCATTCAAGGACACATTACGGAGAAGGAGCGAGCAGTTTCCTTTTGTAAACGACAGGAAGACTTGGGTCCTGTTTACGTAGGGTTCATGTGGTGGATCTTCCTCCTCACAACAATGATTCACAACTATCTCCTCGCCAATCTGCCATACGAGCTTATTAGTATCTTTGGAGCAAGGGCATGGCAATATCACATTCTGTCCAACAGAGACACTCATATACTGGATTGGCTCTGCTGCTCTGCTGTCTGCAAAATTAAGAAAGTTACAGATTGAATACATATACTTAAGAGGAAAAACATGAAAGATTGTGCTGAGTGATAACGCAA